CAAGACAAAACACTGCACCAGAAGCTGAAAGAAAATGGCACTCCCTCCCCAGTTTCCTAGGTTCTCCAGCTGCTCACCAGGCAGGTGAAGGGCCACAGTTTGCTGCCCCATACTTCTTGGTGGAGGAGGTCTGGGTTAGGGAGCAGATGTCTCACAGTGAGAAGGTCAAATGCTTCTCCAGATGGGCTGAGTCCCTTCTGCTGCAGCTCTCCCACTTTGCATGAAGAGGTGAATAATTAGTCCTCCACCAAGAGAACCAGGCTGATTAGAGATTTGATTGATTTAAACTCTCCACATTAAAGGCAAATGCACTAATCAGATGATTGCAGAATCTGTTTAATAAATCTTGGTCCAAATAATGTTTAACTCTATACAATTCTTTAAAAGACACAACAATATACCAGTGACCTGTATAACATGGCTGTATAAATTTTGGAGAGCCTCAGGTTTTATCCTGTCTCTCTGAATTAGGCTTTCAACACCCATTTTTTTTGACAAATAAACCTCAGACCGTTGAGCATTCTGCTGTGAGGCTACAGGCTCTGCAGGAGCTGGGACACATGTGTAACTCTGGGCATCCTACACACAAATGTGAGAAAATGCTTTGAAAAAATGCCTATTATTTTTCTAGGATGCATTACTGAATGCTGTTAAATCTACTATTAGATATGGGAAAGTATCTTCCCAAACTAAAATTTCTGTGGAATCTCATCTGCCATTAATCTTTCTCTGAATGATGTCCAGATGGGAAGAATGGTCAGTCAGAGAGGGCATCAGTGTGGTTTGCTGCCTGTCAGCAGTGATCTGCCAGGCGATGGTGAGGATGTTATGCTTTTTCCTGTATCCACAGGGCAGGTCTCTGGTTATTCCCAGAGGGCCCTTGGGGTGCCCATGTTGCACAGAACTCATGGAATATCTCCATCCTTGGAGATATCCAAAAGCCTGCTGGACACAATCCTAGACAATCTGATCACAGAATCACAGAATGGTTTGTGTGGGAAGGGGCCTTAAAGACCATCTAGTTCCACCCCCCCTGCCATGGGCAGGGACACCTTCCACTACACCAGGTTGCTCAAAGCCTCAGCCAGCCTGGCCTTGAACACTTCCAGGGATGGGGGCTCCACAGCTTCTCTGGGCAACACGTTCCAGTGCTTCACCACCCTCTCCGGGAAGAACTTCTTCCTGATAGCCAATCTCACTCTCCGCTCTTTCAATTTAAACCTGTTACCCTTTGTCCTGCCACTACAGGCCCTTGGAAAAAGTCCCCCCCAGCTTCCTTGTAGCCCCTTCAGGTACTGGAAGGCTGCAATAAGGTCTCCCCGGAGCCTTCTCCAGGCTGAATAAGCCCAATTCTCAGTTCAGGGCTGGCTGATGTAGATGGCCCTGCTTGAGCAGGGTGGTTGGACAAGATGACCTTCCAGAGGTCCCATATAATCCCAACCACTCCATGGCTCTGTGAACCCTGCAGGATGACACCTCTGTATCCACGAGGCCAGGAGACATGTTTCTAGGAGGCCACCCAAGGTGCTTCACCTCTGACTTGTCACCATGCACAACCCTGCGGTACTCACCTTCACCTGCAGTGAGGGCCCTTCCTGACACATTTGCTGTTTGCATGTGCTGCAGAAATGGGGTAGGGGAAGACAGGGTCATTCCTGACAGAAATTGGACTGTAAACTGAGAGAAATACAAGTCACAGACAAAACTATGTCGAAGAATAGGGCAGCTGGCAAAGAAGGAATGCCTGGGTGGGCAAGCGTGTGCAGGGTTCCGCTGTTTGGGATGTGACTGCTATTCAAGGAAGAATCAGCTCAGTCAGAATTGTGTTTCTGAGAACTCCTAGATTCAGATAGCCAGACCGTAACCCAGGCACCCTGCCTATGCAAGGGAGTTGTGTGGCTCTGGGGATGGAGAAGGGGCGTGGGGATGAGGGAGAGCTGAGGCCAGAGCAGAGATGTCTGTGCACTGCAGGGAACTCTTTGCAGCCAAATAAAGGCCACTCCTGTCAACTTTTTCTCTGTCTACATGTGGTTTTTTTCCTTCACACAGGCTGCCTGCAATACAAAGTGCATCTTCCAAGAAAACCTAGTCCATCTGTACAGGTTGGTTGTGTAGAGAATGGTGGAGGACCTGCAGGGGTGGCTATCAGCCATGACTTGGACCACAGCCTGGCAGGCAGCGGTGGCAGGCAAGACAGGGCTGGCTGACAAGGTCATTCTCCTGCTGAGAAAAATTCAAACCCCATCTTCATCACAAACCCAGAAAAAAATCAATAGGTCAGTGAAACCACTAAGCAGACTATAAATGTTGAACTGGTGCAGAACTGCCAGTGCCCCAGTGGCGATGAGGAGGACTGCAGAAGGACGGATGATGCACAGTTCGCATTTAGCACAGTAAATGTGTCTGCTGTCGGTAGGCTACGCCATCAATCAGCACGGAGACGGGCCCGAGCATGGAGGTCATTTGCAAGGCAAAGCAGCTGGAAGCAAGGCAGGACTTAACCATCACTTAAAGCACTGCTGAGCTCAGACCATGTGTCATTCATTCTTGTGTCCTGCATGCGAAGCCGCGACGCTGTACGCATGCAGAAAACACGAGCAGCTCTGGAGATGGGTATGCACCTGCAGCTCAGGTTTGGGCTCCAGGTTTATTTTGAAGTTTACCCATTTCTGAATGTCATGCCTGCCATAAAGTTCCATGTAGGTTTTCTCAGTGTTGCTCCTATAGCATGACCCTGTTTCCTTTGAAACGGGCTGATATTGTAGTTGTGTGATGGGTTTCCTCACATAATTACACCTCAGCGTTCACTCCAACTCTTCCTGTACCTTAATTTGAACAGAATGGAGTAATTTGGCACTCTGATTTGAAGACAGTGGGAGGTGGAAAATCCACTGCTCCCTGTGAACTTCTCTAAAAAACTGCAAAGCCGGCATTTTTCTTTCATTTCTTAGTTTGCAGATTTCCAAACCTGATGGTGGTTAGTAGGAAATATCACCTTGTGGAAATATTAAGAAGTTCCAGTGGAAGGAAGATGGCAGAAAGAATTTTTTATATTAAAGTGCTAACATGCCTTAACAAAGGGACCTATGTATATTCTCTCTCCTTCAAGTGACCATTCTATATCAAGAGGTTATGTAAAATGAACTTGCGTGCTAGAGCTGGAGAGCTAAAGCCATTTTACTCTGTTGAATGCTGTGAAAAAGAATCACATCTCTCCTCTGGTGTGTACAGCTAGTTTCTAAGCATGTACCCAAATTACAAATACATTAAACAACAACTAATGCTGTAGTCCTGAAAATTCCCAGGACATCATGAGTTCAGGAACTTTAAGAGATATGAAAGGCATAAGGCAGATATAACTATTGTCCAGTTAAATGGAAATGGTCTGAATTATCCAACAGTGTCTGACCACAATGAATGTCAAAAAATTATTTGTATGTTAACTAATGGCCTCACTGATGGTTTCAGGATAGCACTCCATAAAACCTTACAGGAATTTCATAGCCCATCAAGAATATCAATCATACATTTTTTTTCTTCTGTGCTGGGAACATTACACTACCTGAACTCATTCATTATGCAGCAATAGGGAGCCAGTGATTTCAGTATGGTCAAACAGAAGAGTAATTAATATAAAATCAAATTTTAGATAGCAGAGTCATTTTCATAAGATACAGAGTCTTGTTTGATTTCCAGGTCTAAACATTAAGGAAGTACATGGCCCCTTCTCATTCATCACATACACTCTTCCCTTTAACTTATCTAGTTTCAGAAAGAAGATGTAGCAATTAGCTCATGTTTTGTTTTGGTTTTTTTTTTTTTTTTTAATTGCTATACATCTTATTATGTGAAGTTGGTGCTAGCAAGAACTTTTATTGACAGCTTTTGATTCTAATACTTTCTGTCTTCCCGCTCTCCTTGAATGTCACCTCACCCATGAGAAAAATGATAATTAAGACAACAGTGGAAAACAACAACACTGGTTCTTCAGACATTTCAGTACTTTACTACCAGTAACTGGCTTTTCACTGCAGGACAGTATCATAATTTTAACTGTGATTTTTCTACAAAGGCATATTATGCAGCTCTTCATAGACACATTAATGAATGCTTGCTGCTCCTTTATTGATTCCTGTATATTTACATTATCAGCCTTAGTAACAACTAGGACTTCCAGCATGCACTGTACTTCAAACAAAGAGATTTTAACGTGAAATATTTTTTCATTCAATGAAAGGTCTGCTTTTTATGTGAAGCTACTCCGGCCACAGTTTTTAGAAAAAAGTCTGCAAAACCACAGGAAGAAAAAATAAACTGTGGGATTTATTTATTTCAAATGAAGTGAATGAACTAAAAAAATCTGATATTAAGAAGGTTTTACCACTGTGTTATGCAAAAAAAATCTTTAAATATTTATAATTGGGCCCAGATTTCAAGGTTGAGGTCCTCATATAATGAACTATTACACTTTAAAAGAATGTACAGTTAAGCAACCAGAACATTTATAATGTACACTCAGTGTACAACAATAGTTTTATGCTAAGGTAACCAGCTGGAATAAATGGGAGTTATAGCAGTATAAAACTCTAGAAAAGCTGTGATTAATCAGGTATAGATCCCTATGGCATGTAACTGTATTATTTGCATAAACAGAGCCATAGGTATTCAAAGCTACGGCTCAAGAAAAGAGGTGAGACCACTGGAGGAAACTTGGAATTTACACCCAAAGCTATCATTTACCCCCCTGATGGAGAGAATAAAAGATGACATGCTTCTGTGGCTGCTGCAATGCTTTTCTGTTTGTAACACCATTATGTCAAGCTCAGCCATGAGCATTTTGATGTAAAGAAACAGGAGAGAGAAAAATGGGGAGCATGCAGAATCAAAAGGAGGAAAGAATGAGGAAAGGCAGGTATAGAAAACTTGATCTGTATTGCAATTCCACCAACCTGCAGAGCTTTCCTGAGCATTAATTATTGTTTGCAGTGTTACTCACTTACCAACATCAGGATCAGTGGCTTGGACTCTTGTTAACAAAGCTTTAGTGGCTGTATTTTCATAGACGCATGCGGTGTAGTGATCAGATGAAAACACTGGTGGATTGTCATTAACATCTTCTAAAATAAGATGGATTTCTGACTGGCAAAACCTGCCACCACCATCTGTCGCTCGGGCAACCAAGTTGTACGCAGGGATTTTCTCTCGGTCGAGAGGGGCCAAGGATTTCAGCTCACCTAAAAATAATTAAAAGCAGCAGCCCTCATTACTACTGTAGCAACATCTCTAATTCTAGATAGTGAGAGTATTCAAGAAACACGTATTTCACAGGAATAGGAAAAAAAGAATCAACCTTGCTTGTTCCAGTGACTGGATTAAAAACTCACAGCAGTGTCACTTTTCACTCTTCCCCTAAGGACGGGAGCTGCCATTACTGACACAGGGAGCACACGCCACTCTTGGTGGCCCTCAACACCCTGCAACTTCACCTGCATGAACACCACTCTGTTCTTCCATGTCTGCTTTTCTGTTACTCTCAAGATCTATAGACTCATACACAGAAACACACTCTGAACCTGATGACAGTCGCCACCATGAATTGCGACTTTTCAAAAAATACATCAACAACCCTCTCTCTTCTCCCCACAAAGCAATCTCCAACCAGCTCTGAATTCCCATAGGTACCTCTGGCATCTAGTTTGAAACAAACTTCTTATTCTCTTACAGAGACAAGTAGCACAATAAACATCAGAAGCAACAAAAAGCCAGCTTATCCAGACTGTGAGAACTTTACCCATGACCCATTTTCCACAGCACAGATAAACAACTGACAAACATCGCCACGTCAGCCAACAGCTGCTACTAGTTGGAAGATAAGTTTTGGGTTAGTTTTGTAAGGAGTGTAATTTTCAGTTAAATAGAGAATTTATTATTGAAGAGGGCAGTACTTCCCCTTCCACAGACTGCAGAGATGTCCAACAACTCTTCAGCCATTGGTAATGCTATGGCAATAGTGGGTGCTGCCTCCTGCCAGTAAGGCGGAGGAGGCACTTCACAGCAAAGGACTTAGTCTATCATTATGGAAACCAAATTCCTAAGAATAACAAAGGGGTGGGATTTTTATTCATGGGAAAATGATTTTATTGAGCTTTACTGCATAACAACCATGAAATCTAGATCTTAGCAGAGATCAATATCTTTTTCCAGACCAACTGCAAAATATACAAGACCTTTGTAGCACTCTGCTGTGGCCACAAATTCATTATTGATATCTTTTCTCCCCCAAAATCTGTATATAAAAGGAATGTCTATTTTACAGGGTCTAAACAACAATATACCTAGACGAAGATAGAAGAAAGTCTGAAGGTGAAGGAGAACCATGCTGGCAGCTTCCCCTCTTCCCACAGACTCCAGGAAAAGTGCCCCATACAACTCTCACCTAACTTGAAGACTGGCAGGGGAACAAAAGAGTTTGTATCCACTGTTTTGATTACACCATTCAGCCTGGTCAACAAAGACATCCCTCTTTCTCCCTCCTACCCGCCGAAGTGATCATCTACACCTGCCGTAACTGGAACAACTTGCTGATAACTGAGTGTAATCTAATTCTAGTTATGGAAACTGGCCTCCACTGATGTCAAGGGTTTAAGAAGGCTACTCAGAAACATTGTTGTCATCTTACCATTTTCTGGATCTAAGAAAAACTTATTGTTCCCAGCACCATAGAGAGAGTAGCGAATTTCACCGTTGGACCCAATGTCTGCATCTTTAGCACTGATTTTAAGAATGACTTTGTTTGATGGTATGTCTTCAGGAAACAGTGCTGTGTATGCAACCTAGAGACAAAAACAGAAATGTAAGCTATCCTGCAGCAGTATTTTATAGTCCTTGCACAATCTTTGTGTTAAACCCTCTGTAGTATATTTTTTCTATACATGAAACAATGTTCTTTTATGTTACACATATCTAGAAATTAAAATCACTGCTAAGCTCTGAGGTGTCACAAAACCAATGCCAAATTATGACTCTTAGTAGGGCTCGGTTTAGGTGTTTGTCATAGTTTAACCAAAGGCAGCACAGTGTTAAACGCGGTCTCATTTTCTATCTTCCCTTTGTTTCCTCCACACCCATGAAATGGAAACTTTGATGAGTGTGCTAATGAAGACAACTGTTTTAATCGCCTCATCCAGCAGTGTCTGAGGGAGATACAGGCTGTCGGTCCCCAGAGTGGTGCTTGCAATGACAGTGGCCCATCAGTGATAATGTAATGACGGGAATTACAAGAGTATATACATACAGATATATGTACTAAGGTTCTGTGAGCAGCACCATTAAAGAAATCTGGGTTTCATAGTGAGTTTTTGTTCACACAGATGTATCTATTGCAGTATTATCAGTTCCCCACATTGCCTTCCCACAGAGTAAGAGACAGTTAGAGCTGTGACAGTTGCGGTCAGGCCACAAGGCATGCATGCTTGATGACATGAGAGCAAGCTACAGTCTTCCACCCTTTCCACCGGGTTTCTGACGTCTGCCAGGTTCAGGAAGGCTGGAGTTAAACTAGACTGAGGACACTGCAGCGTTGGTTGTGAAGAGAAAGCATCTCTTTTCTGCAGGGGAGGAGTGGCTGCCTGGTGCCACCTCAAAATGCTTTACTTTTTCTAAAGCCAACTTAAGGCCACTGTGGAGAAGACGGCTCTGCTACCTTTACTAGATCATTAGCTTTTCACCTTGGCTTCACATGACTGTTTCATCCTACTCCTCTCCCAGATCACTTCAGATTCTTCAACTACAATCTTAAGGGTGAAAATGGGTATCTGAATACCTGTAAATAGCAGGGTCACCCATAGGGAAACCATCACTTCCAACACAACAGTTGACTGGGGCGGGTGTCGCTAACTCACCTGTTCACAAACTGGATTATTATCATTAACGTCAGTGACGGTCACTTCCACAGCAGCTTGGGTTACAAAGAGGCCATCTGTGGCGGTGATGTTCAGATAATAAACGTCTTGCTCTTCCCGATCTAGAGGCCTTTTAACATAAACCTTCCACTCATTCTGAACCAATCCCAGAGCAAACTTCCCTTTGGGATTCCCTCCTGCAATGAGACAAACAACACGCGATGGGCTGGGGCGTCCCTTCAGGACTCCCACCTAGTTTAAACACACAGATGCATCTCAGAGGAGCTGGACTAAGCAGCCGTCATTTGTTTTACAGTGATCGGTGCTTTCAAACCCGCCAACTCAGGAAATGTGTAATGAGATTACACTCCCTGTGTTTATTGCCCCCTGAACGCCTTGTATGAAAGGGAACCAATAACTTTCAGTGGAAACAAAATCCATTTAGCAGAGCTGAAGATGATCTCTTGTTTAGTTCCCCGTAAGGGCAATCAAATTCAAACTGTGAACAATCAATAGTACTCTCAGGCTGGTACAATTGTCTTTCCACTTAGTCTCGGGAGAGGATGTAATACACTGTAGCTCTTGTTACCAAGACAATTTCATTAGCTGTTGATTATGCAATCAAGGACTGGAAGTGGGTTCTATTAAGGAATCCTCTAATGAAAGCTTTATCATACAGCTGCGCCGTTCTTCTGTTCATTAAAATTCCGGTTTTAAAAAAAGTTTACACGACACAGGAAGACACATTAGTATTAAATAGTCCTAACAAGAGGTCATTTGAGAAGCAGTAGGAAGGTAAGCAGTACAACGAGACCAAACGTATCCAAGAGCGAAAGCTGGTGGAAGGAGTGCAGGAGACGAAGTACAGCTTTCGTTCGTGCCCTAACACTGACACTGAACCTGGCAATGTTGCTTTTCCACATCATTAAATTGCCTGGTGACAAAAGCAGGTTGTAAGAGGGAAAGTTTTGGTCCGCATCACCCTCAGGAAGGAAGTAAGGACATGTCACATGTAGAAGGGTACAATAATCAAGACGGTTGTTAATCTTTGCAACAGCTATTTACTCTTTAATCTGAAATGGTTTAGTCCCCTGCCTGCTCCATGAAGGAAAAAACATCCAATCACCTTTCTCTGAGCCCAATCTTAACCCCCTGCCAGGACAGATGGTAAAATCTTTGAAACCAATGTTGTGGTTTAACCCAGGTAGGCAGCTAAGCTGCACATAGCCAGTCGCTTATTCCTCCCACGGTGGGATGGGGGAGAATTGGAAGAGTAAAACTGAGAAAACTCGTGAGTTAAGGCAAAGACAGTTTAATAGGTAAAGCAAAACCTGCATGCACAAGGAAAGAAAAAAAAGGAATTAATGGCAGGTGTTCAGCCATTTCTAGGGAAGCAGGGCTTCATCTCAATTAACGGTTACTTGGTAAGACAAATGCCATCACTGCAAACTTCCTCCTTCTTCCCCCAGCTTTTTTTGCTGAGCATGACATCATACGGTATACAATATCCCTTTCATCAGCTGGGGTGAGCTGTACTAGTTGTGTGTCCTCCCAACTCCTTGTGCACCCCCAGTCTACTTGCTGTTGGATGGTGTGAGAAGCAGAAAAAGGCCTTGGCTGTGTAAGCACTGCTCAGCAGCAGCTAAAACATCCCTGTGTAAACAACACTGTTTTGCTCAAAAAACCAAACCACAGCCCAATACCAGCTGCCATGAAGAAAATTAATTCTATGCGAGCCAAAACCAGCAAAGCCAACTGCCCAGTCTTATGTATCCAGTATCTAACATAACCTTGGTCTGTAAAAACATATCTGCACATTTAATAATTTAGGATAGAGCACTATAGTCATAGTAAACTTATGTGCTGTAGAGACTGAATGAAGACAGAAAAAAGCATCATACTGCTTTATTTTAGAATCATGGAATTGTTTAGATTAGAGAAGACCTTTCAGATCAAGTCCAACTGTTAACCCAACACTGCCAAGTCCACCACTAAACCATGTCCCTAAGCACCATGTCTACATGATTTTAAATACCTCCAGGGATGGTGACTCCACCACTTCCCTGAGCAGCCCATTCCAATGCCTGACAACCCTTTAATTCCAGTTAACCCACTACTAGCTCTTTCCATACCGTAGTAAGCTTTCTCTCGTGCTCTCACATGCTGAAATGAAATCTGAGAACAACTTTCCATGTTTCTCATGTATAAAAGTGGTATAAAAATATAAAGGGAATGCTTATTCTTTCTTGTAACAGGATCAAGAATGTCAAGCATGCCTAGAATTTATTCAGGGTCCTGACATGCATCATGGGATCTGTCCAAGCTCCATGGAAAGACCAGGTTCTTAAACCCTTCTCCCTAGTATTTGTGTGGAATATTTCAGTAAATAATTATTAAAAAAAAAAAAAAAAATCCAGGGCTGAATTTACTTGAGCTGCCTCTGCTGACAAGTGATTAAGTACTACTGTTGTTGCTTCTGGTGTCACCATTCTGTCAGCTCCCAGGAACCTTCTTAGCAAAAAAACAAGGCATAGAAGATTTGAACCTGAAACTGAGCTTAAAACCAAGCAAAAAAGTCTAATGCATATTTCATACTTTCTACATCAATAAGTGGAAAAGAGGTCACAGGCTGTAATCTATGCCTTCTTCATTAGCTACCAAGGACAAGATAGACTGTTTTCTATTTAATATGAAAACTAAGTTGAGACAGAGTGAGCAAATCTTTCTTGCTAAGTATCACCATTTGTAATAGCTGTAACTGTGTCAAAAAAGCATGTTGTAATGAATAAGATTTCCAGAAAATAAGTCAGATAGGCAGTGTAATTATGAAAAGCCCTCTAATCACACAGAGCAGAAAACTGATATATCAAACACATATTTTCTATTGATAGAAAATTACTTTTTCTGATCACAAAACCAAGCAGTTCCAAATTTTTCGACTGGTTTCTATGACTGTCTGCAATAATCATCAGGGGACTCAGTTAAACCTTGCTTAATCTGTTATGTGATATAAAAACACATTTCTGTTAAAGAGGGTTACACAGTATGTCAGTGTGCATTTCAGGACAGATCTGAATACAATCCAAGGCAATGAGAATCTGTCCACTGACTTGAGCCTTAATGTGACTTCAAAGAAGGCAGACCCCCGCTGACTGACATTAAATTCTCTCTATTCGGTTCAAAACCAACATAAAAAAACCTTAACTCTGCTCTACAAAAGGCTGTAATCTTGTCACAGTGAGTTTAATGTTGTAAACCATTAATAAAAATGGTCTTAAAATATTCTTATTTAGATCTGTGATATCAATCAGTGCATTAAAAACTTCTGTAAAAGGAAATGATTAACTGTCCTGACCAACTATGAAGCAATACACTCAAGGTATGGGTATCCCATTGCTAAGAAAAGAGGAAAGGCAAAATCTAATTAAAATCAGCTGGTGGCTTTTATGGCTGGCAGTAACACTAGCTTGGAGCAATTTTGAAATGACTGTTGCTTTGTTGTTGATGGAATAGCTTACAAATCATACACAGGAATTTAGGGAGTATGTATAAAAAAAGGGTCCTTGGGATCCCTTTACTCCCACTTTACTCCACTAGAAAAGGATCAATGGGAATGACCAAGAAACCTGTGCAATAAGCAGCAAACACGTGTAACAGTTTATTTGCATGCCTTCTTCATTAGCGCTGCCTGCCTTTCTTTTTTATTCTCAGGACCAGCTCTATACTTTGTTGATGGAAGACAAAGGTGGAAGTTGTACTCTAAAGTGTAAAAGAAATTATGAGATGTAAACACTGAAATAGATCAAGGAAATATTCTTAAAAAATGGAAAGGCAAAAAACTTCCACACTGTGGCCCAGGAAACCATTTTCTACTGCTTATACAAATGTCTTGACGCAGATCTCATTCTGCAGTGATTAATTAACTTTTTCACTAATACATGTAAGCTGATTCAGTTTCCTAGGGGCGTTCTAATTAATTAGTTTTTCGCTCTGAATAATGTAGCTTTTCTAAACGGAAGCCTCCTGACTACATGTATTAATGGATTCTTTAAAATCTTTTGGCAGTTTTCTTATGTTCTGCTTTGAATGTCACAACAGTGAAGTGCTAACTACAAAAAACACCCCAGTAACTTTTTAGAAAGGCTTTGAGGCTAAAAGAATCAGCATTATCTTTTATCTTTTGTTACTTGAAGTTTAAATAATGCTCTCCCTCCCTCCCTAGTCAGCAAATAGTACAAAGCCAAATCAAGCTCAAGTTTAAGTAAAGAAAGCAAGCAGCCAGATACAAATGAAATGCAGAGACACAGTGATCCAAAATAAACAAATCCTGACACACATCATTACTAAAGCACACACAGAGGGAATTATAACGGCTAAAAGGGAACTGAAAACTAGAAGCCAACAGTATCAGTTTCCACTGCAACGTCCCAATCTGGGAGGGGGAACTGAATATTTACCAACTTATTTATTTAGTTTCTATCTTACATTTATGCATTTATTTAGATACTTTCAATTCCCAATTAGAACTCTAAGAATTTGCATCACACAAAATCAATAGGTTTATTCTCCATTCCCGGTTTAAGATGTTGCATGTTTACTGAGATGCCGAAATGATAAACCCAATCCTCTTAGCTTTACTATCATAAAATTGCAGACACTGTTCTTCAGCCTGCAGCACAAGTCCTCCTCAAAAACTGAGACATCCTTTTTTCCAGAATTCCGGGATCTAAAATATAAAATAAAAAACCAAACAAAAACCAACACTTTGCTCATACTGGGAAATCAACCCAGCAGAAAAGCTACTGTGTACAATATGGGGCTTTCTTCCAAAACCACACTGTCCATCTTGCTTGTATTCAGCTGAACCAAGCTTAAAGACTATTGTCTGTCTTTAGATTTAAGTGCCTGATGGAGCCTAATTAACATCACTGAGGAACATAAAACACTTTACTGTACCAGAGTCCTAGCATCTGACATATTTCTGGTGGCTTTTCCTAGTTAGCCACTGTTAAATCTCAGTAATACCTGTCTTGGTTTAGGCTGGTTAAGCTTCCCAGCAGCAGAACCCTGGTTTTAGCTGAACTGCCTCAAAATGATACAGGCAATGACCTCAAATGAGCCTTCAAAAGAAAACTACTTCTGCTCCCTAAGTGCACTTGTGTCATCTGCGCTTCCTATTGATTTTCTATTAAGATTTATATATAGTGCTTTTGCTTTGGGAACATCTCCAGCTGCTATCAAACTACAAATAA